AAATTAGTTAGAGGGTGTGGAGGCGAAGCCCCTGCGGGTCTGCTCTGCTGATAAAATTCTCGTCCCCCTCTAAAAAATAAAATTGACCCTAGTTACGCCTATGACCAGAACGCTTACACAAAATAAAATATCAACACAAAGAAAGAAGCATTCGGCCCCAGACAAGAATAAAGAATAACAGACTTCATAAAGAAAGCCGAGTTCACAGCGAACATATTATATAAGACAACGGATCAACGATATCACATTATAAAAAATGTTTGTAAACTATCGTAGGCTAATAAATCATGTATTTAAAGCCTTAAATAAAAAAATAAATAAAAAAATACTAATTATATTAATACTATTGAAGATAGACATAAATTTACTAAATTAGTCATAGATAATACAAACATTGTATATAATATGTTTGATGTTAGTCCAGTGTTAACACTTCCAATTGAGAATATGACGTTTCATCTATATATAAGATAGGTACAGGTAATTATATAGGTACATTCACATAGAAACAGATGAGAATAAAAATTTTACTTAAACAGTTATTCCTAGAAAAGATAAAGATAAAATATTAAACAAAACCAATTTTCTATTTGATATACATATTACCTAGTATATTACAGTAATGTATTTCAATAAGTGACGTAAATAAATTTTTAATATTTTTAAAAAAATGACAATATAAAGCAAAGTTATACGTTTTGAGCTTTTACAAGATACATTTTTGAGATTATTTTATTATTTACCTACATTTAATGTTTAGGAGTTTAGGACCTAAATCTAAAATCTAAAATTATCAGTAGGTATATGAACTTTTTTATAAACCTTCAAAAATATCATCTATGTATTTACAATTATATTAATATATTAATTTTAATATTATAGGTACCTCAATAATAATATAACTTTTTTGATTAGAAACAAAAGTATCTATTAACATTTGCATGCGCTTGCGAGAGTTGCATCCGGCGGCGGCGGTTACAGCAATTCTGGTGAACACACACTAATGTTCTTTTACTAGTTACCATAGACATATTTCAAATGTTCAGTCATGTGAATTGCCTATATATTACTCCTTAAAATATGATACGCTTGAGCCCTCTTAAAACACAGACTTCTATACTACACTAGATAAGGAACTCTTATACAATGCACATTGTTACAAGTGAAGCTCAGCTGTGAACGGCCGCCATTTTCTCGGTTGGCAAAACATTTCATTTATTATACAAAATGTATTAGGAATAATATTTTTTTTAACGGTCAAATAAAATAGTAAATGTAAAATGACTTATATAAAATATTTTTTTTTTTTGTAAACTTAATGTTTAAAAATAATAAAATACGATATAAAATAAATCATAATATCATCTTATTTGTCATATGAAATACCATACAATTGCCAACCGACCTTGAAGCTTCAATTCATGACCGGAGTTCGCTATCTAGTAATATATAGAAATCTGTGTCTTAAAACTAGGTACTTATAGCTACAACCTACCTGATACCTAAGTAATAGAATAATACAATATCACAAAGATGAAAAAGTAAAAATAAAAAGGGGAAGTATTGGTAACTTCTTTGATGTACCATGTACAGTTAGTAGTGGTCAAGTGCGTACCTCGTCATTAAGTAGGTATATCACTGTAACAAAATAAGTACCTACAAGTAAGATTTTAATTTAATGATAAATCATTAGTTACGAAAAACAATAGTGCGAAAACTGAAAGCTGCAAGCATGGACAAGTTAAGAGGATGCAGTATCCGCATAATGTTGTCTCCGTCTTACTAAAGCATAATATATCACAATGTACATTCAACAGTTCAAATTTTGCATTGTTTAATAATTGTTAGCTATAATATTACAGTGAATTATTGACCTATTATCAAACTTAAATGTAAGAACATTATCTGTGTCCTACTGTTGGCTTTTTACAATATTTTAATTTTTAAGTGAATTATGAGAATTTGCAAATATTATATTTATTATTTAGTTATTTACAAATTAACGTAACTTGGAGATGATTAAAATTTAAAAGTAACTCATTATTTATTAAATAAACATCAATAAAAGCAGCTTGTAATAAAAATAAACTTAACTTTAACTTTTTAACTTGTTTTTGCCCAGCCTTAAAATACTGTTCATCACCCTTTACTAGGTAGGTAGGCATCTAAGTAATAATTACTTTGATTTATTGTGACAAATTTCAACTTAAGATAAACAATAATTATTGTTACTTGTTTTCCAAGAACACTATGACGTACTACTTTAGTTATAGCAATATGTAATAGGTTATGATTTATGGCGTATTAGATGACGTCACACCTGCATGTCTGGTATCCATCTTACAAATGTAGGTACAACATAGCAAAAACTCTTGAGAGCGGAAAAGAACAGAAAAGGCTAGTCATAACTAAGAAACGAAATTTTCACCACATAAAAAATTAGAACTTTTGCTGTGCAATATCGTTTTTATTTTTTCAATATCGGAACTTTTAAAAAAAGTTAATAAAGTTTGAAAAATACAAACAATAATGGTTTTTACAACAATAAGAACTTTTATCTAATTATATCAAAAAAATAAACGTTATGGCATAGTCAAAGTTCTCCTTTTTATGTGGTCAAAATTTCGTTTATTAGTTATGACTATAGCTTTCTCGGTTCTTTCCCGTGGAAAACAGTTTTCGCTATGTTGTACATTTGTAAGACAAAGACAAAGACAACACAATATGCATGTGTAGTCTTCTAGCGGTAGATTATAGACCAGGCATACCCAACCTTCTTTAACTTTTAGACCACATTTGTAATTTTTATTTATACTGCCGTCTATACCATTTAATTTTGATAAAATACACACTATTAATATGCTTAAAAATTGGAAGATATTTTGTAATTTTTAAAAGCTTATTAAAATAACATATTTTTTTTGGTTAAACTATAATTTTTGTTTTTATTTTTATTTAGGTAAACCTATTAACTAAAAATTTCTAATTTTGATAAAATGGTCACGGGCCACGGGCCGGTCGAAATACTTCCATAACTCATAAGTCGTATCAGCTGGTTGGGTACACCTGTTATAGACTATAATCTACCGAGGTATTAACAAATAATTTTCATAAAATTTTACACTAAATGTATAACAGTACATGAATTCGATTTGGAATTTTAATATGTTCATGAAATTAATGATAAAACTAAAATACATTCTACAAAAATAACAACTTAATACATAATTTCTAAATAATAGTTCTACAAAATCATTTAATAAATTACAATATTCTATGTTTCGTAGTGATCAAAATTTACATTGATTAGTTAACTTTACCAACTAAATTAAGCAAGTGAATATAAATCAAATTATTTAAAAAATATGTATACATAGGACATAGGCACAATTATTAAGTTAGTAGTTATTTCAATAATTAAAATAAACTTTTTTAAAGTTTAATTTAGTACATATTGCATATTTATATTTAAGGTAACAAATTTAAATATGGCTAGAAATTTGCAGTGAATGCAGATAATTTTAAAATATAAAATATATTAGAATAGGAAACATTACATACATTGTCTTAACCATAAAATAAAACTAAACAAGTAATGTTAAGTATTGTGTTATGGTCTTTGACCCTTATTATTATAAGTTAAATGGATTTAACTATTTAGGACAAGTATCAACCAACAAAATATACAATTGCTTCATCAACTAAATCACATAAAATGTTAAACAAAAATGTTATAATGTAATGATTTAAAAATTTTAAAAGCTCAATTAAAAAAGGATCTTTTATTGATAAAAATAAGAATGTATACCTCACTTCCTATATGGGAAATAATACCATGAGAGTACTTGTAACTAGTTAAAAATATCAGAATACCAATAAACAAAAATTAACAATGTAAAAGGTTTTTTATTAATTATGTCTTTTTTGTTTGGTAATAAAAAAAATATATACCCTCAAAACACTTAACTTAAGTATTTATTTTATAATAATTCTGTTATAGTAGGGTATTATATAAAACTAAAATATTATACATAATACTATATAAATTTTAATATTATGTTTAAGCATAATGTCAAACAAAATTTAACACAAATCTTTTTGTGAAACATTTTAACAAAACTGATTATTCTAAAACTGTATTCAAAATAAACTATTCACGCTTACTTAATCCTAATGGATAACAATAACTTAAGCAAAATGAGTAATAGAAAAAATATTAATACCTACTCCATTTCATTGTTACATACTAATATCACAAATTATTATTACAAATATATTTTCTTTGGTAAAGATATACATATTAAAATTTTTTTTTTTTTTTGAACTTAAGCTCGGAAACTGGTCATTAATTGTTTTTAAGGGGGGGGGGGGTAAGTTGGATTGGAACATATGTATGTATGTGTGGCATTTGTCACTAAAAATCCTGGTGAACTAGTGACACCGGCTGGTGCTTGCACTCAAAAAACATTTTCTGACTGAATGCAACACCAAGCTACTATATTTAATTATTAATTATATTGTACATAGCTGAACAAAAATAAAACAATAGTTATAAATAATAATGTGATGATATTAATAAATTACAATGTCATGGAGTATGCAAAAGTCATACAAATTATAAAAATAAAATATATGTAGTAGTCCTTGTCTCTGTGAGTCTAATAAAATAACAGATTTATGATATATCAATTATTATCTCAGGAGTTATCGCAATGGTTAAAACCTAAGGGGACACTTGTATAGAAATATATTAGTTTCAAAAAACTATTGAAACCGATCTTGGAAGGTTTACATTTTCTGAAGAAAAATATCATTCAATGTATATGAACCAAATGCTGATTTTGATCACCTGAAACCATAATAATGAAAGTATTTTGTATATAGTGATTACTGTATTAACAAATATTTCTCATGGTAACTTTATCATTAGTATTTGGTAAACAATTGTGCAGCTAAACTGATTGTCATTGTTGATTGTAGACTGTAGTTAGTAGAGTAGTTTACGGGTTTGTGCTTGACACCATGCAACGGACACAACTATGTATGCATGGGCACCTGCAATGAGGAGCTTGTGGTGAAGTACAGTATACCAGTGACATAGGCCTCATATTGAATATGTTTGGATGTGACTTCAGATCTGGATGTTTGAACACCACAGGTGTCTGAGAAACCTGAATGTTACACAAAATATACACATTTATATACATTTTTAGTTGTTATTTCAATGACATGGTAATCTATTAGATCAGATACAATTAAATCGCTCCCGAGAGTTGATCACATGAATTGATTTTTGTCTACCAAGGAAGCGAAACAACAAGTCTGGAAGTTTAATAAAAACCTCAACTGATATGTCGACATACTATACTCAGTAAACATATATCTATCATCAGCTCGGCCTATTGAAATATCATCATGTCTTTTTATTGATCAATAATATAAAAATATTGTTTATCAAATCACTATAACAAACAATTTTTATTGTATATTTATTAGGTAAAATAAAAATGTAATACGCATATATTCTTTTTTAATAATATAAAATATAATTACTTATTAAAATTGTGCATACAATATAAATATATTCAAAATCAGAATTTGGGATTAAGCATATAATAATAAGTGTGTTAAACAATGGAAAACTGGACAACACAAGTCAACAGAACTACCATGTCACACTCATTTCTATCATATGGCCCCCAAGCTCATCATATTTTTTAGAGTACAATACAATTAGAGTATCATACAATTAATTTTATTTTTTAATACTTAATTATAGTATTCATACTAATTTAATATTTTTAACTTGTAATAACTGCACATTAGATGGACTCATTAGTTAAGATAATACCAAGAAGTAAAGTTAAAGATATAATAATTACACTAGGTATTAATATGAAGATAATTTAATTATTTTAGCAAATGTACAAATCATAATGATCAAAAAGGTTAACTGTTAAGACTTAAAAATATTTTGTAATGTCAGTCAGTTTACTAAATCGCTTCCGAGATTGATCACACTAATAATGTTTTTAACAGGTTTAATATCATTCAATGTTGGGAAAATTATCTCAACCAACAGATTAACATAAAACCTTGTTTAATACATCAAGTCAGACTCGGCCTGTTATCATCATTTTCAACATTTACAAACATTTACAACTTAATTATGTTAAATAGTAATACAATGAATGTGAACAACTAGAGTTTAGAACTTCTAAAACAGTAAACTCAACGAGAACAGAAAACAGTGTGAGATATCGAGTTTTATAATAACTGTAATTATTTCAAGGAGACTTCAATTGAGTTAGAGATCGATCATAAAAAATTTGAGATACATCGTTCAACATAATAAAAATTGACTGTGGTATTTTTATTATAAACCATGGGTTAAAGGAGGACATTTTTAAGCAAAATTATTCATTCAAAATGATCTTTGAATAGTGCAAGGCTATATGAATATATATAATATATATATTGAATACATTAATGAGAACAAATACAATATTTTATTTTAAACAAAAGTTTAAAATCTATTTTGTATTGGTAGGTACCTATTAAATTATATTTGTATACTGTATAATAATGAGAATAATATCAAAACACTAATTAAGTAAATTTTTATTAAAATTTTGAACTCACGAACTGAATCATAAATATGTATTAATAATTAGTTACCATTAATTGTATATAATATACTAACCTAGTGGGATTTACATAATTTTTAAATTGTATTTGTTAATGATTCAGTATATATTCATTTTACTGTTAGGAAAATTATTAGTTAATACCTACACCTATTCAACAAGTGTAAAGTCAGTTAAAGATTTTTATTGTTATCATGATAGTAATTATATTTATTGTACTCCATAATAAAATTGACTTACTGCCAAGTTCTCTATTAATGAACCGTTTAGACAACTTGTTTTTGATGAGCACTGTGTGCAAAATACTGGTCTCATCAGTGCCATCAGCCGGCTTGATAGCAATGCAAAACAGGCACAACACAGGGATCCACCATCTGGATTATTAACAAACGATATATTATGTCTCGGACAATTAACTGCCAAGTAGTTAACGGCACATAGTGATCTCAAAATTTAATCTTGACGATCTAAACACAAGTATTTATGTAGTATAAAATGTTTGAAAACATCACTGGTATCCTCTTTTATATTACCTTTATAGTTTCACCAAGTTTCTTCTGCATGGTTTTAATATTTATAGATTCCCTGAACATCGTTTGGTATCAGACTGAAACTGCCAGACAGACATCTTGTCAATGGACGAGTGTTCCTTTAATACACGGCAAACTTTCAGAGACAATCTTTGGGCTCCTTTGCTGTCCACTGCTATCAAAATAGCTCGCCGTGGTTATCCACCACCTGTACATAGTAATGCAACAAATGTTTAACATGATTAGAAAAAAATTCAAACCGTCTATACTACATGACTTCATGAGCCTATAATTTGCACCAAAATAAATACAAGGTTAACAGAAAGAGAACTACAAATGTAATTAACAAACTTACTATGTAATATTTTTTGTTCTATAGTCAATATTTTTTTTAAATACATTTTTTTATACAAATAGTATTTAAAAATATTTATATATGCACACATAAGAACAGCTGTAAGTAAGAACATACTATGTTCTAAATATAACCATTTATCAGTGTGCAAGTTCAAATCTTTCTCAATCCAAAACCTTACAATTATTTTGATGAATATGATATTAGTAAGTTAATTACCTAAAACATTCATCCAAAAGTGTCAAACACCAAACGATTTATTGGTATCATATACATCTTAGCAGTAGAAGTTTAGATAGGTATTTATTTTGTGTTAGTACTATTACTCTAAAAAAAAGTGCAAACATAAATTTGTAGGCGGTGTACAGTTTGAAAATGTACAGCAAAAATATTTACCAGTAATAATATGAATATCATTATCGGAAATTCTAACAAAATTGTAATCAAATTATTTTTAACAGTACCTAATAACGATTTTCCTAATTATTTTACAGATATAAATGACAAAATGTAAATGCATTTTGAAAATTATACAAAAATAATACAAATACAGTGAAACCTCCCTTAACGGACACCTCTAAATAGCGGACGTTTTTTAGGGGACGGGAACATTTTCACTATTTATGTATAGGAAAACCTCTAAATACAGGACACTCTAAATAACGGACACTTTTATGGCGTTGATATTAGTTATTTTTACAATACAATTACGGAAAATGACTACAGAACACTAGACAATTGCGTAGACTTACGACACCGATATCGAAAATTCATCTGATACTACGAGCACGTCTACACAAAATGAAGAAGAAAGTGATGAAGAAAATGATGGGTCCGAAGATCAAGAAATTCCAAAAATAAGAAGTCTACGAGAGGCATTGCTAGCAGTAAAAGACATACGTAAATAAATATATTTTTTCTATCGAGGTACAGAATAGTTCATTGTTCTCAAACACAGTCCAATTAAAAAATGCCTTAACATACGAAATAACTACGCCTGCAATTAGTAAACAAACTAAAGTAACAGATTTTTTTCAGAAATGTTAGTTTTTATTTTTTTTAAATGTATGTATTTAATTAATGTAAAAATTAAAATACAAATTTAGGTAACTGTTTTTTTTTTTCATAAATGTTAGTTTTATCGTGTATTCAATTAATGTAAAAATAATATAAAATAAAATTATTGAATTTATTTATTTGTTAAAAAAAATGTTTTCCTCTAAATAGCGGACAAAATTTCGGCGACCGATAGTGTCCGCTATTCAGAGGTTTCACTGTATATACATTTTTAAATCATAGTAACATTTTACTAGAAATTATTATTCTGACAGTAATACATTTCTCTCCCACTTCTTCTAGGTACTCTACAGTATAATTTATTAAAAAAGAGTAGACTCAAAATTGTTAATGCATGTTCTACAGTAGAAAATGTAATGATTTTTTAGACAATTAAAATTATTTTTTCTTTAAAATGAAAATATAAGAGTAAAATTGCACTAAGAAAAAAATATATTAAAATAACTCCAACATTTTGAAATATATAAAAATAAGCAAAAAAATTTTATTTTACTTTTTTGTTCTCTATCTGGGATAAATGTTTAAGTTACTTTGGTGTTCAAGACCATTCAAAGGAAAAATATACTAATTCTTAAAGTCATGAGCCCTATTTACTACCGATACAAAATAAATGCATTATTACCTAGCTACTTTGTTTGTGATCTCCATAATACTATTATATACTGCTTACACATAGAAATCAAAATAGCATTTTCTATTTCTAAACTATCATTGTATATAACTCTTGAGATACTGGATCATTATGTGTGGAATAAATTTCTCCAATAATTCAACAAAAATTGTGGTATTTGAACATCTTGTTTTTTTATTTGATTTTGAGTCATATTAATGAAAATATGATAAAGGATTGCTACACAGTTTGAAATGAGTTATACAACTCGACATACAGTAGACTATTGAATCTGAATTATAGTAGTCACCTATAAAAACAAAGTTAAAAAAAAAATTAATACCATTTTTCATCCACAGAACGTTTGCCTTTCATTATGAAAGTACCAAAATAATCTGCTTGAAATGTTAGGTTAGATGTTCTCATAATGTTACAGTACATGTAACAGTTGAATTTCAAGTGCCTTTTCAAAACTTCTATTGCTTGATTGTTTTAAATCATATTGTAACAAGTTAAATCATGAATGTGTTTTTATTCAACCTGAAATAAAATAAAAAAATAAAATCCATAAATCGTAAATATAAAATATGACTCCATTACCTAAATCGGGTAAATCTGATTTTAAAAACATAATCATCAAAGGTGGGTCCAAGCGGGTTGAAATAATCTTACGATAACAATTTATTATTCTAAATCTTGGTAGATTTATTAAAACTTCTATAATATATTCTTTACTAAGACCATCAGAATTCGATGATGTATACACTGACATTTTAATTATTTAATTAAAGTTTAGGTCTTTTGAACAAAGATTAAACAAAAACTATTTGCTTATTCTTTTTATTAACAATTAACAAAGCAAACACAATTTTTTTATACAAGTTCAACGTCTACAATCTTACCGATAACACCGCACAACATTGGATATGATAAAGATTATGATAAAGATTCTTTGTGCAACTGATAATAATATTATGTTTGCTTTTCCATTACCCGGTCATAGGTTCTGGGCCAGAGCTTCAGGCTGCAGCTGCTGCAATGCAGGCTGCCGAATCACTCTGTGCTCATATCCACAATATTAATATTATTATTATTATTATTCTTTACTACGTCCGTGATAAATGATAATACGAGCAGCGAATGTATTACGCGTATACTAAAACGGCGACAGCGTAACTACCTTCATTTTATAATTTTATATATACACACAATATTATTATACACACACAATATTATTATACACAATACGCCATAGTACAAGTATCGGCCGCGGTCATGACACACGAATACACGATCGTCCGGCGTAAGTGAGTCAGTGAGCGTAACGTCTACCGCGTCCAACAGCATTAAATTCCGCTTATATACTTGTCTATGATTCCGCGTTTCCGCCATTTAATATAATTTTATGTACC